GTATGATAGTAGTTTTTGTTTGTCTTACGGATTATAGTCTTCAAACGGTGGTAATTCGACTTTGTAGAAATTTTAGAGATTGTTTTGGAGGGGGTCTTAGTTTTCGTAATTACGAAAACTAAGAGGGGTCTTAGTTTTCGAGATTACGAAAACTAAGACCCCTAAATTTAGCGTTAAATTTGACCTAAAACTCGGTGGAAAGGATGGAACATGATATAATTTGACAGATCAGACCGATTTCGGTTACAATTTGACTTTATATTTCGACGGATTCGATTTTAGGGGGTCTTAGTTTTCGTAATCTCGAAAACTAAGACGGGTCTTAGGTCTTAGGTCTTAGTTTTCGAGGGTCTTAGTTTTCGTAACACCCCTGTCAAGGGAGCCTAATCAAACAAGACGACCGACGGCAGTGAATGAAAACGATGAATTTGCCTTCTCTCCAACTCTATCGAGGTTATTTAGCCTCGCCCAATCAGTTTTTCAAATGTCGGGAAATTTTCCGGTATCCAAGTTAAAAAAAGAGAAAGAAAAATTCGTTGACGCGTATTTACGACCTCCGTAAAAGGAGATTGGAGAGTTTCACGTCCGGCCGGAGTCGTTAAGAGGACAATAAAAGAAATATACCAAAAAGGGTGATGCACGTGCAGTGCTGTTGTTTTGCTCATATAGCCATTATTTATTTAAAGTGTATTTATTAATTTATTAATCTAATATTTATTTTTTATTTTTTAACGTTCTCGTCGCCTTGGTTCTCATGGTTGAAGGTGTCGCCTATCCTTAGACTATCCTCATTTCTTGCTTCTGAATCTTCAGTTAGACCAGCTTTAAGAATCTGGGAAAAGGTTTCCTTGACGCCGATAAGGTCTCCCATCATTAGTGAGTTTACGCAACAGGACGGCAGGAAGAAGAGGACGGCAGAACGCTCGTGTGTGACAAACGTGACAAGGCTATTTCTTACGTGTTTTGTCGTGATCTTCACTTAACATCAATGTTTTCTGGTCTTTTACAAAAAGATCTGTTTAAAGGAAAGTGAATTTTGGCGAAAAGTTATTTCAAACAAAATTATTGTCACGCTTGTCACACAAGGTTTGCCGTCTTCTTCCCTCTCCCGTCCTGTTGCGTAAGTTCACTATTGAGGGTGAGTTGACAACGGTCTTTGTATCCAGCTCTAAGGTTTTTAAGGCAGCTGAACACAGTTTTCCTGAGATAGAGTTGAGCATCCAAAGTAATTTTCCATGACGAAGCCGTTCGGCGCGAGCAAAAATCTGAAGTGATTAAAAAAAAACTTCGATAGAAATGTTACTGAGAATAGAGCTGTTAAAATTTGGTCTAGTTGTGTTTTAAAAGATTGATGATTACTAATTGTAAGCTTTGGTCAAGTTATAAGGAAAACTGATGACTGGATTTTGCGTAAACCTCCTTGGCTTGTTTTATATCATCCATGTTGCCACGGCAACGATTGAATTTCCACGTTTAACCTCATATTAAAACATAACGTCCAGTAAATAAATATTGTACGCGCAAAATTTGTATGAGCTTTATGCCTGCAACGAGTCTTTATTAACACCCCATAACGACTCACAACCTGTCCAACTGTTCAGCCACCTGACAGCGCGGTTTAAGAAAATCACTGGCCCCCAAAAGTAGCTTGGGCTGCCGTTACGTCTATCCCCTTTGAATGTTAATAACCGACGACCATAACAGGGTTCGTACTCCCGGTTTGAGCTCTTCAAATTCCATGACTTTCTCCATGAACTTTCCGCGTTTTTTTATGACCTAAGGTTAATACAACCTTGTCCCCAGGGTCTTCTCGCTTTCCAATATGGCCGCCGCCATATTGGAAAGCGAGAAGACCGTGGGGACGAGGTTGAGGTTAATAGTCAGGTAGCTAAAGGCTTGGATCTATACAGAGCCGACAAAAGCACCAAACTTTGCATGGTTACAGCTTAGGGCATGTTAGTTAACATTAGGATCGGTGCCCACATCTACCTCTTCAGGATTTGCAGCATCTGCTCGCTGAAGTTCTTCAACAACCTTCCATGATGGGTGCCCTGTGCTGAAAATTGCAATCCCTTGTTTTTTTGTCATTTTTTGCTGAAGATCACATAAAAAGGCAAATAGATGGAAAAAGAAACTGTATTAATACTATTATTGTTGAAACCAATGACTAAAACTAGTCAACTTAACGATATAGCAATAATGATATACCATGGTGGGTGCCCTGTGCCAAAAAAATATCAATTCCTTGTTTTTTGCCATTATTTTGATGAAAATCACATGAAAGACTTAAAAATGAAAAAGAGATTGTATTATTATTGAAACTAATAACAAAAACAAGTCAACTAAATGGAAAATTCAAG